CAGCTTCAAAGGTGCAGCCCCTTCCCCCATTCTGGAATCCCAGGAGTTTCTGCAAGTTGACCATTGAACCTGTTTTCAACTACTCAGTTGATTTTCTGAAGCCTGGCATTTGCATGCACAATCCTATGATTTTTATTAATTTAAAAAATAAGTTATATAGGAAACTACTGACAACATCAACATTTTGAAGCTGTGTTTATTTTACTTAGGAAGGAAAAGCTTGTAAAGTGTCCATCATGAGAACTCACTGGGGAGCTCCACACAGATCAAATGCACAAGACAAATCACCACGTCAGAGCCCCACAGAATTCTGAATCCCAACCAGCAAGCATGAATAATCCTTTTAAATGGTCACTTACATATCAGAACAGGGCCTTTGTGAAATTTCTAAGCAAGGCTTCTGATTTCTGACTGAAACAGAGATTTATTGGGAAGAGGGAATAAAGTGAAATCAAGAACTACTGGGAAATCTCCACAAGAAAAGAAGACAAATGGGTTTTGTTTGTTTTGTTGGGTTTTTGGGGGTATGTCTGTCAGAATGAAGCCAGCCTCTCCTATCCATGTCTCTATGCAATCGCTTTACCCAGCCTCTCTACTCAGCCTCTCTACCCAGCCTCTCTACCCAGCCTCTCTCTATTCAGCCTCTCTCTACCCAGCCCCTCTGTCCAGGCTCTCTCTGTCCAGCCTCTCCTATCCATGTCTCTATCCAACCTCTCTACCCAGTTTCTCTCTACCCAGCCTCTGTCTATGCAGCCTCTCCCTCCAGCCTCTCTATTCAGCCTCTCCTTCCCATGTGAAAGCTGCTGGCAATCCCACAGGAGGGTTAGGCAATATTTTCAACTGGTTCCTCAGGGACCCTCCTGATCTAATTGTGGTCACTATGCAGATGTAGTAATAAATTATAACAGAATACTTAGTGTCCAATCCTGTCTATTTCTAATTAGCTGTGTGACAAGTGGATTAAACTCTCTGGTTCAACCTCATTCAGAGGAGACAAAAATGACTACCTCAATCTCCTCTCAAAATTTTTGCTAAGATGAAAATTATTTCTACAGTATAAAATTGTGGGGCCAGGGAGATGGCTCAGTAGAATAAGTGCTGACCTGGCAAACATAAGGGCCTGAGTTCAATCTCTGGTGCTGAAAAACAAAAACAAAACAAAACAAAAAAATATATATATATATATACACACACACACATAATTGGGCATGTGTAGAAGTATTATTACTGGGCTGTGGATATAGCTTAGAGGTTTAGGCACCTGCCTAGGCAAGTGCAAGGACCCAGGTTCAATCCCCCATATCGCATCCTGTGTCAGCCCCGCCCCAAGAGCACCAAGCCAACCACTAAGACCAGGTATGCCTATAATCCCAGCACTAGAGAGGCTAAAACAGGGGGATCACTATGAGTCCAAGCTGTATAGTGAGACCCTGTACCAAACACGTTTTTAAAAGAAGCATTATTACTAAATAGAATTCCATAATATTAAATTGCATTCAGGGTCTCATCTGACCCTAAACTTTTAAAAATCTAGGTATGCTCCATTTTTACTTTATTCTGTACATTTCTACTGACCTGTTTTTCATAGAAAGTATCTCAGAAAAGATAAAAGTAAAGACACCGCTTGCTTTGTGGTGCTGCTACCTAAGAACTTTAAATCAAGTTGAGTTCACCACAGTTGACTTAACGTCAGTATCACCTGAAGGAGAGATGTAAAGTGACAGGCACCCAAACAGGATGTGACTCTTGTACCATCTGGTAAAAGAACACACGATCAACTTTCAAAAATTCAAAAGAGGGCTGGAGAGATGGCTCAGTGGTCTAAAGCACCTACTTGGAACAGGCTTGGCAAAGCACAGGGACCGCGGTTCAAACCCCCAGCACCACATGCCAGCCAGCCCTGCTGCCCCCTGGTGGGCTGAGCTGGCCATACACACACACACACACACACACACACACACACACACACACACACAATAAATGAATGTAATAAATAAATAAACAGCAGAATATATAAAAAATAATAATCAAAAATTCAAAACAACACAAAAATCAATTAAGCTTCCAGTTATTAACATAAAACAATTGGAATATAATGTTAATAAACCTTTTTCATTTATAACATCATCAAAACATACAACAGAAAAATAAAAATAAATTTAACAAAAATTGTGTGAGACATCTACAAAAAAAAACCAAACTGTAACATATATGCAAAGGAAATTAAAAACCTAGCAAGATACACCACATTCATGGGCTAAGTAGTGTTAAAGTGCAACTCTCCCCTAATGGTTGTGTAGGATCAACACAATCTCTATCAGGATCCAAACAGGCTCTGGTAAAAATTGACCCACATATTCTAAAATGTGTATAAAAAGGCAAAGGACCTACACATATTTTTTTTCAAAGAAGAAAAAGTGGCAGAATTATTTTTTTCTGTTTTACTTTGGACTTTGTGAAACTGGGATTGAACTCAGGCCCTTGCACTTGCCAAGGAATTGCTTATTCCACTGAGGCATCTCCCCGACCCCTCAAAGAAGAAAAAGCATTGGAGAATTCAGCCTATTTTAGTGTAATATGTTCATAAGGATCCATAAATAAAGTAATGAAACAACAGATCATCCTGAAGTAAATTCACACACATATGGTCAACTGAACTTTAACAAAGTCACCAAGGCTATTCAGGGGAAAGGAAATCTAATAAATGGAGTTGAAACAACTGGGTATGACAAATAAAAATAACCCTCAACTGCTCCCTCACACCATACATAAAAATTCACTAAAAACAATCAAATCATTGCAGACATAGATATAAAAGGTAAAGCTACAACAATTCCGGAATGACAAATATCTTTCTGACTGCGGACTAAGTAAGTATTTCTTGAAAAGGACAAAAACATACATAATAATCCTATAATTAATTAATAATTAAAAGAAAAAATTAATAAGTTGAACTTTATGAACATTTTAAACTTAGTCAAACACACTAAGAAAACGGAACGCAGGCCACAGGAAAATATAACATCTGCAGTACACTAGTACAGCAAAAGCCATTTAGGAAACATAAAGAACTACAAATCAATAAGAGAAAGACAATGAGCTCACCTTTAGTCCTTTTTTTGTTGTTGTTTTTTTCTGGCAGAACCAGGGATTGAACTCAGGCCCTTGCACTTGCCAGGCAAGCACTTATTCTACTGAGCTATCTCCCAGCTTGAGCTCAACTTTAAAACTGGTCAGCTCCCTTGAAAAGTCATTGGTATTTAAAAAAAAGACAGAGAGAAATAAAGGCCAGCCTGATAGCTCAGAGGACTAAAGCACCTACTTAAGCAGAGCTCGCCAGCTGGGTGCTGAGATGGCCATTGAGACGGTGTGGTGGCACGCGCCTTCAATCCCAGTGCTTGGGAGGCTGAAAACAGGAGAATCACTATGAGTCCAATCTGCATAGTGAGACCCTGTCGACCCTGTCCTGAAAACATAAAAAGAGACAGAAACACACACAGGGGGAGAGAGAGAGAGAGAGAGAGAGAGAGAGAGAGAGAGAGAGAGAGAGAGAGAGAGAGAGAGAGAGAGAGAGAGAGAGAGAGAGAGAGAACAAGCAAATGCAATGGCTGGCCTTGGATGGGATCTTATTTTGGTCAAAACAACCACAAAACATGTTCTGGGGACACTTGGGAAATCTGAATATGAGCTTGGTTACACATGACATAAAAATGTTTTAGTTGACCGTTGGAGATTGTGGGTGGTTAAGGAAAGCAGGTTATATGCAGTATTTCCTTGGTGATCTTTTTGTTATGATATAATATATATGTTTATTGAATATACTTCTTATTCATTTAAATTATAAGTGTAATATATTTATAGTTATAGAAAGAGATTTAATAAGGAATATGAGTGTATCTATTAACATGGGAACTCAGGGAACAGTACAACCTTTAATCTTGTTGGAGTTTTCTAACTCCCTCCATGTGCATGTCCTGTTCTGATCCTCTCATACTCTAGTCAAGAAGATGAGAGTCTGAGGTTTGCTGTCTCACAAGATGAAAGGACAGCAGATATAGAGCAAGGAAAAGCACCTACAAGCAGGCACAGGAGCCAGGAGTTCCATCCCCAGGCCTGCCATGCCAGGCCTGTCCCCGGGGGTGCACTGAGATGGCGATTGAGACTGGGAGTAGTGGCATGTGCCTGTAATCCCAGCTCTTGGGAGGCTGTAAACAGCGGCTCACTGAGAGTCCGATCTAGTAGTGAGACCCTGAACACCCTGTAGACTCTTCCCTAAAATAAAATAAACTGTATTAAAAAGGGGCAGGGGACATGGCTCAGTAGAATAAGTGCTTGCCTGGCAAGTGCAAAGGTCTGAGTTCAATCCTTGGTTCCGCCAAAAAAAAAAAAAAAGAAAAAAGAAAAAGAAAAAAACAAAGAAATAGAGCAAGAGAGCAAGAGAGAGAAATCCTGTGCTGTATGAAACCCTGATAAGTGAATCTCCTGCTGGGCACATGCCTTCTCTCATTTCGCTTTCACAACAAACCTGTCAAGTGTCCTCCCTGTTCTGACAGAGTTCACAGGGGCACACTCTGACCTTTGTACATACAGAATAGTCGGGCTCTACCTCCATGTCCTCTCCACTTCACTTACATACAGATTCAGATTTAGTAAGTTCTATTACTAAACATTCCTGAAAGATTTGTTGCATCCAGGGTGCTCTGCAAGATGTGTTATACAAGTCACCTCATTCATACCCCATAACAAGCCATATAAGGATGATAGTATTATTATCCCCATTCGACAGATCAGAAAGCAAAGAGAGGCAGACCAAATAAGAAACGAGAATGAAGCTCAGGCCTCCCAATGCCCCGCTCCTCTGCCCAGCCCAGCTCAGCACGTCTCCAAGTTCCCATGCTTTCGCCAAGTTCCCAGGGGGTAGAAGAGAATGAACGCCAGCTGCCGACAAAGGGGCCGCTGTGGCTCACATCCCAGCATTTCACTCGGGCGGCCTTGCTTACCTGTCCAGCGCCGTGCTGGTTGGCATACTTCTCCCGAATCCCCGAACCCCCATCTGACGGAAATACGGAATGCAGGAGAGATTGGCGGCGATGATGGCCAGGGAGTCGGAAGGACTCACAAAGAAGCCGTTTTGGCCAAGAATCATATAACGGTCCTGGGGGAAGGAATGTGTGGAAATTATCAGGCCGAAGCATCTGCTGCCGGCAGCCCATTCCCATAGCCATCCCAAGTCACTTCACTGCAGTCTTATATTTAAACAACCTGAAACAATTTGCACGAGGCCAAAGAGAGCATGAGAAACCTTATAAATCCCCAAATAGGAAGTGTCCAAAAGTCTGACACAGCTAGGAATGTGCTCCACCTGCTGAAAAGTGGACAAGCACTCCACACTGCAGGAGCCTCTGACCCTACCCAACAGAACAGCAAGCAGCAGTTTCTGCTGCGATGGCCAGTTCCTTACTGTGGCGCTTTCAACGGAGCCAGCTGCAAATAAAGATTTATTGCATTAATATGTTTCTGTTTAAAAAATTATTTACAACATGTTAATCTGAAACTAAGAACAGTAAAGGTTATTAAAGGGCAATATTTACCCACTTAACAAGCAAACTATTGCTTGGCCAGTTAGGGCCCCATGGCGCTGTCACATAGGCTGCATGCAGTCATTAACTCTACCCAGAGCTCAGTTTGTTATGTGGTAGAAAGGTCAGAAGATGGAAAACTTTCCAACTTACTCCATCAGCATCAAAGGCAGCTCCAAACCCATACTCTCCGCCTTTCATGGCTTCCAGGAGGGTCGTCGCATAGGTCAGGTTTGGGTCGGGGTGCTGCCCTCCGAAGTCCTCCAGGGGAACACAGTTTATTGCAGAATTGGCTGGAGCTCCCAGCTCATCACATAGAACTTTTCTCACGTAAGGTCCCATAACTAAAAAAAGATATAGAAGGATGTGAAATGCTGGCCGAGTCCTCTCCCATGGGTATTCTGTTTAGGCAAGAAAGCACTTAATAGGCCGGAAAGAAAAGATAAATTCTACAGGCTTTTCCAAGACACAACACAAACTAATATGCATTTCAACTATTATTTATTGAATATCTACTATAGTCTCTTGACTGTGTTAGCATATTGAAGATATATTCAAGAATCCAGCTAGATGAAATTTTTCTCTCCAAAGCTTTCTAAAATGTTTCCAAAAAGAAATCAATTATTTTACAATGATTCATTATCTGCTGCTTTTCACGTAGTGAATGCTTTAGCTGAATATATACAAACATAATAAATGTTTCTAGCAATGCTCTTTGTGTAATCAGTGTATAATTAAATGCTAAAAGCCACTGAAGCATCGTTTACTGTAAAACTAAGCACATTTTGCAAAATAAGTGCTTTAGAGCCTTACTTCACAATTGTGTAAAGTGCAGAGATGATAGCACTCTGTTTCTTTTTTTTCTCTTTTTCTTTTCAGTTTTGTTTTTTTTTTCAGAACTGGCGATTGAACTCAGGTTGTTGTACTTGTTAGGAAAGACTTATTCTACTGAGCTATCTCCCCAGCCCCTGCTCTGTTTCTAAATGCTGGGACCCATAATCTAGAGGTGGGTTGAGGCAAATCTATAGAAAGATTAAGACAAAGAGAGATGCTGCTGAGGAAGGAGCACCTCTGAGTTCAAGGCTAGCCTGGACTGCGTAGCAAGACCTTACATCAAAAGCAAAGCAAAGGCACACAGGGGAGTGCTCCTGTGCCACGAGGAAGGATGCACCTCAGTCATTTGCAGGAAAATGGATATGATGTGAAATAAGTCAGACACACAAGCTTAAAAATCATATGCTTTCTCATACATGAGAAACCCAGAAAATAAAAAGCTAAATAAAAGATGTTAGAAAGTAGGGATTTTTGATCTTTTGCAAAGAGAAAGGGGCCAAGAATTGGAGGGGAGGGACAGGTGGAAGCAGAGATGTGGAAAAAGTGAAGATGGGTTCTGTCCACAGACTGCCTACCCACAAGCAAGGAGATTGTGGTGTACTGCAGACATAAACTAATAAAAATAAATTAAAAGAAAAAACAAAATAAAAAGAATAAAAGAGAGGTGCCATGCAATGCACATTAGTGGAATAATTTCATCCCTGGCTTAAGAGAAGCAACCACCGCAGGTAAGACTACCAGGAGGAAGCAGGATTTCTGAGGATATTGGAAGGAAGAATATAAACATGACAGAGGTGATGGGGAGGCCATCCAGATGGAAAGAACATTGCAAGCAAGAGAACAGAGCCTAGATTAGGACATAAGGCACATTGAGAGCCTGCCACATGATCCTGTCAGCTGAAGTACACAAAGCGCTGCCTTCATTTTTTTCTCACCAGTTCTCAAATAGGGAATACCTCTTCGGTTTGCCTGTCCAGTTCCTATTTCTCTTCCTGTAGTAGAAGTACTTGAGGTTTCTTTTAGAAAACCACTTCCTTTCCCATCAGAGTTCAAATGATCTCTGTGTGGCTAAATCTCACCTCCTCTAAGGCTGAGTAGTTGACCTAGGTCTGCTCATTCCATGACCTATAGACTCTGGCCAGAATGACTGATTCAGAGACAGATATACGAGACCAGCCAAGTGATGAAGCTCAGCTGCAGAAATGTTGTTCAAACTATCTGGGAAAAGGAGCTGTCTTTTCTCTAAGTCAAATACTCTTAAGGCAAGAACCTGAAAGATCTTTTTCTGGGGAAGACAATGAGCCCAACAGGAAAGAACGATAATATTCAACCCAATACTCTTAGAAGATATCTCATGGAAGGTAAGACCCATGGGCTCAGAGCTCCCTACAGATTCTCGAGTGCCTCAATCTTAAGTATGCCACACATTCGTGGATCACTAAAATTTTGAAGAATGCACTTAACACGACATTGAAACAAGCAAAAAGAAACTTAGAGGAAACAAAACTTATACTGGGGGATAAAAACTTTTTCAATGGTATCAGTAATATCTGAACAGAGGCTAAGAAGATATAGAAGAATGGCTGAAATTTAAAAGGCCAGCAATGCCATCTATGATAGTTGATCCTGCCAACACCTAGGAATTGGTACAACGCACTTCCAGGTATATCTGTGAGATTAACTCTGAAGATGGTTGGCTTGTGGGATGAGTGGATGGGTTGGCACCGCTCCACGGGACGGGTACCTGGGAGGGGCTTCTCTTCCATGTAACAAGCAACTGTCCTCCACTGTGCTCTTCTGCCATGATGCTTCTGCCTGATCACAGGCCTAAAGCAATGGAGCCAGCCGATCATGGACTGCAACCTTGAAAACCACCAGCTAAGACAAAGCTTTCCTCCTTGAACTTTCTTGGATATTTTGTTACAGCAATGAAAAGCTGACTAACACACCAGGCATTGGCAACGATACAGAGCAACTAAAACCTTATACTCTAGGTGTAGCATAAATGTACAGTGACTTTGGGAAAACAATTTGACAGTTTCTTATATAAATTAGACATACTTGTCATCAGACTCAGCAATACCTTGCCTAGGTACTAACCCAGGACTGATAGAAGCATATATTCCCATAAAGCTTTGTTCGTGAATAGTCATAGAAGCTTTAATAACCCAAAATTTGGGGATTGTACTTTCCACCAATTAGCAAATGGATAAACAAATTGTAGTACATCAATACAATGGATTACTATACAGCAGTAACAAGGAACAACTAAGAATACATGGAACAGCATGAATGTATCTCAAACATGCTGATAAAAAACTGATGTGAAAATCTACAAATTTTGTGGCCCCCTTTATACTGTGTTCTGGAAAAGGTTGAACTATGGAAGTGGAAAGAAGGTAAATAGTTTCCTGAGCAAAAGGGGAGAGATTTGACTACAGAGAGCCACAAAGGATGGGCCAGGAATATAGCTCAGTAGCTAAAGTGCCTTCCTGGCAAGCACAAGGTCCCAGGTTCAATCTCCAGTACTGAAAAAAATTTTTTTAAAAAAGAGCCACAAAGGAAACTTTGCATTCAATAATACTTTAAACTGCAATAACAGTAAGAAGGTATATACTAATAGTATACAGTGATAGGCAGCTACAAACTAAATAAATAGTTTTTTAAAAGTTGGAGGGTTGCCTCTAGAAAATAGGCAATTGGAAGAAGAATGGGTTTGGGGAACAAATTATTTTCATAACAAACTTCATTTGAATTACTAAAGTATAGGTTATGACACAGATTCAGAAAGAAAGAAAGAAGAAAGAAAGAAAGAAAGAAAGAAAGAAAGAAAGAAAGAAAGAAAGAAAGTTAGTTTTCTACACCCTCATGAGCATATCCTATAATTTATTTGTTCAACTTTTATTTTCATTTACATCAGAAGAAAGAAACTGGAGTCCCGGAGTTTCCCAAAGTGTTACAAATATCTGAAGATATACGAATTGTGTACCTATGAATCGTCCTTCTCCCTAGTCTCAGGGGCTCAACAAGCGCAGAGTTCTCCCTCATATTTCTTTCCCAGAAATGTGTAGAAAACCATCAGCTCACCTCCGTGCATAGCGTCAATGCGGATCTTCAGCTGGCCGGGCCCAGTCAGCAAACCCTTGATGGTGTTAAAGTCAAAGATGGTCCGCAGGAGATTGAGATAGATATCCACAGGGTCCACAATCTCCACTGACAATGGGGAAACAAAAGGATGTCAATGGCCATAGCCAAGAGAAAGACTTAAAAAGATATAAGAAAGAATCACTATCCCAAAGGCATGAAACTCTGAGCACAAGCCCATCCCAACCCACATACTTCTGTGAAATGAAGCATCCATTTATAAACAAAAATGATGAAGCACAAATGAGACATTACAAAGTTTTTTTTTTTCATTTGTGTATTTGGTACAGGGTCTCCCTATGCAGCTCAGACTCATAGTGACCCTTCTGTTTTCAACCTCCCCAGCCCTGGGATTACAGGTGTGCGCCACCATGCCCAGGCCCTGTCCCAGGCTCAGTGTACCCCAGGGGTGTGGCATGCAGGATAGGAATCAAACCCTGGTCCCTGTGCTTGCCAAAGCAGGCACTTTGTTCACTGAGCTATCTCACTGGCCCTCAAAGTTTTTGATTAATGTATGAAAGTAGTATCAAGTCACAAATTCTTTTAAGTGTAAAACCATATAAGTAAGATAATATATGCTGTTTCACTCCTGCAGCCCTTTCTTTCCACCTCTTTTCCCCCAAAACCACACACAGAGCAATGCAGGCAGGCATCTTGGCATTCCCAGCGGCCTTTCCTGTGGGGCTCTGCCAAAGAATGACTCTGCTGCTATGAAGCAAAGAAAGAAGTGACCTCAGTAGTGACCCCTATTTTCCAAATGCCCTTGTACCCAACAGATCCAAGTGCAAAGTTAGTGACAAAGCTATACAGTTATTTCTGCATTTGCATAAGTCTATTTTGTACCTGCGTAGTACCCAATTTCCAGGGTATGCCAAATATTCGAAAATCCTCATTGAACAAAAGTGCTCTCCAGGGTCTGATATCACTGGATTATCAAGACTCCAAAATAAGTATTTTTCATTTCCTTGACAAAATAAATCACATCTTTCAAACTTCTTAGTTGGTACATATTGCTCAGAAAGTAATTTTGCTAGCAGTAGTAAATATTTGACTCTTAAAAACTAAAACCTTGGGGCCAGGGAGATAGCTCAGTAGAATAAGTGCTTGCCTGGCAAGTGCAAGGGCCTGAGTTCAATCCCCGGTTCTGCCCCCGCCAAAAAAAAACAAAAAAAAAAGAAACTAAAACCTCATTTTACTTTTAATTATATTTTAGAAGCATTACTTTTAATTCATTTTAAAATCTATGTATATTATTTTTCAAATATTAATTATTCATTAAAAAGTATATTAATAAAATATGATTATTTAATATATGCCCTATGTTAAATTGCACTCTCCCAGTAATGTCTTATATGGCTTTTTGTTAAGCTGCAGATAGGCATTACATTTACTTGTTGTGCATATCTACATTCCATTATTCATTCTTTTTCTTAAGGTTATTGGTATCAATTATGTATACATAATGATCACATTCATCATAAGGAATGTGTACTTGTACATGAGATATCTTGATTCCCTTTTCCTGTTCCCCTTCCTCATTTTTTAAATGCCTGCTACTCTGGAGCCCTGAAATGGTTAAACAAGTGCTGATGATATTACCAATCAATCCACCTTCAATAATTTTCAGTACATCCAGATGTAATATTTAATGACTGAGATTTTTAACACATGATATAAAATTATCTCTTCATCTTATTATATACACTAAAAATACCTTTTCTTACACATAAATCATTATAGAAAATTACTAACTTAAAAAATAGTCAGTGTTCTATTACTTACTTCATAGAACATGGACTATTTTAGTTATTTTTTAAAATGAGAGAGCTATCAATCTAGAAAATGAAAATTAATCTGTATGAACTGTACATTGACATAGTTAAAATGCTTAATTTTATGCTATATAAATTTGTTATGTATGTTTTACCACAGTAAAAATTAATCTATAAAATAAAATATTAAAGTAGGTACAGTAGCACACACCTGTAATCTCAGCACTCTGGGAGGCTGAGGCAGGAGGACTGTGAGTTTCAGCCCAGCCCAAAAGACTTAGTGAGATTTGGTCTCAAAATAAAAAAAGGGCTTAGGAAGTAGCTCAGTGCGAAGGCCCTGAGTGCAATTCCCAATATTGCAAAAATAAATAAAACATTATGCCCCAAGTACTTTAGAATTTTTATTCAATAATTTCAGATAATAATTTTGGTAATTTAATTCAGAATCATCAACTATCAAAGTATTTACCAAAAAACATTTGGTACTTATAACAGATAACACAGAGAACCAAACAGCAACATGAAAAACGAGGAAGCCAGAGGTCCACGTGAATCAAAAATTTACATCAAATAGTTCATGCTCCTAACATTTTAAGGTGAAATGCCAAGGACTGATTTGTTTCCAATTAATTCAGGCCTTGCTCAACACTTGAAACATAAATTTTCTTGAGTAATTATCCCCACATTCTTCTTGGGAGCCAAGGAATCCCTCCACCCACCTCCTGGTGATCAGCAGCATTTTAGGAAAGCAATCCAACTAGCAAAGTGGCTGCAGTAAACAGCCTGAATCTGAGCGCCAAGATTTGGGTCTCCTGGACAACTATAAATAATGTGAAGATAACAAATAGAAAAAGGAGAGAGAGCTTTTTCCTGATTGAAATGCCTGGTATTTATTTCTTTTACAGCTTAGGCTTTCCACCACATGTGGTCAAGCACATTTGAATTGTCCTGTTCAACTGAAGGTGTCCATTCTACAGTTGTCTAGCCCCTCCATGTGAATGCATACATGTGCACGGGCACACTTGCAACTAGGTTGATAAAGCAGGCACTGGTCCCTCCATTGGCCATCATGGCTTTCAATAAATTCTGCTCACGAACTGAGAGAACAACTGGAAAGATTTCACAACATTGGCCCAACACTATGATCCCTGCATACTACATTTTAAGCTTTGCTGTCACTAAAATATCACATGGGCATGAACCAGGTATGTTATCTGTACGACAGAGTTCAATTACCTATACAACAAGGATGCCATTTTAATACAATCTATATTCAAACTTGTAGGGGCACTAAAGTAATGTCATTCTGGTTCTTTAGTTCTCAAACCACTTGTCTAAATATGTTTGGTAGTTACTGAATTCCTTTGTAACATAATACTGATACAGAGATAGTGATCAATAATTGTGCTAAATTAAACTGAATCACATAGCTCTGGCTCATAAAAGAAACATCTCCTCCTATTGGAATTTTAATAACCCCATTGAATGATTAGCAATTGGCTTAACTAAAGCATTTCAGGTCTTCACTTTAATTGACTAAAAAATCAAAGACAAGCTTTAGAAAGTGAGAGTCTATTTCATGAATACTGTAAAGTAGTCAATCATAAAATTTTTTCCTGTGTTGAAAATGACAGAGAGTTTGGGAAGTGGTTTCTCAAAGCATCCAGATATTAATATTTGGTCACTCCCATTTTTTTCTGTATCAAATACAGTTTTCCACCTGTTGTCCAAAGTCCCCCTTCAGAGTGATAATTCAGTAATTTTTATGAATGTGCTCCCTTGTGGACACCACTGGTCACTCACAAGACAAAGACTACACCCCACCCATGCACACCTGGATTCCATTGTATGGAGTCCCCTTGGAAGGCTCCCCATTCCCCTTGGAAGGCTCCCCATGCCCCTTGGAAGGCACCCCATGCCCTTTGGAGGTCCCCATCCATGGAGTTGTTCTGACTTCCCCAAAATGTATGTTTTCTGTCTACTACCTCTGAATGGTTTGAATTTGTTCTCCAGGTCAAATTCTTGTCTTCCTAGTCGAGATAGGTCAATTCGAAGATCCGGACAAATGGCATATTCCTCAATAGTTTTGCTGATCTGATATATTTTGTCTGAGACAACATCTGGGGCTGGACCTAAGATGTGAACACCCAAAATACATTTTTTTAAAAAGTCTCAGGAATTTCAACCAAAGAAATGTTACTATCCTGCACATAGAAGAAGAGAGATTCATTCATTTCCTAAACAGAAGATTCATGGTTTAATTACCTTGAGCATGTCTTACCCTGTATTCATCTACTGGGAGGAAATTTGGTCACCCTCACCTATTCTCTGTAGGCTAAGAACTCACATGTTTTGTTTTAATCCGCTCCTAAGCAATGATACATCTCTCCTAAAAATAGTTTCACACCTGTTAGGGAGACCTGGTTATGCAATCAGCTTTATTCAGGATATGAGGCACAAACAGGATATTCACTTGACAGAAGTGAGGGATTCCAGATTTAAACTACAGTGTCCCAAGTTACCTAAAAAAAGAAAATATAATTTCTCCTCCCAGCTCTACTGCCTATTGATGTATGAATGTAATCAGGTACATTAATAACTTTCCCCAATTCACTCTAATCCAGTAGTGCAAAACTTTTGACATTTGTGCCACAACTGTCTATTTGTTAACATTGAAAGCTCTAAAAGCATCACCATTATAGTACTCCTAAGTTTTAAAATGAGGATTGACAAAAAATATTTGACATAGTTCCTTAAAACTTAAGGAGTGATTTGGCCCACAGAATACCTTTTGAAAAATATCTCCATTTAGCCCAAGATTCTTCTCTAGTCTTGTCCCACTGTCGTAACAACGGACTCTTCTTAGTATTTTCTGAACAGCTTTAGGCAACTATTTCCCATAACTTCTGTTCTATGTCCCTCCTAGTGACATCTGTATCCATTTATGTTTTTTTCTATAAAAGTTCTGCCCCTTTTCTGGGATCTAGAATGTAAATTGGTTCCACAATTCACTAACTCTGTGACACTGGTTAAGCATTTTTAATCATTTGATCCTTCATTTCCTTCATCAGTTTCTTATGAGAGTTAAATGGAATGATGCACAAAACATGCTGAGCATGGTAACCAGCCTATCATAAGTATTTAAAACACCAGCATTTTCCATTGTTTCTACTTCTCCCCAACACTGTCTTCATCTTCCCTTCTTCTTAAAAACATGCTCTAAATGTTCCTGTCCTCTAACTATATTTTAAAGGCACCCAACTTTAAAAATGTCCTGAGTCCCTGTGCCTACAGGGAAACTTAGTTTTTCATCTCTAAGATATAGTTCTTTTTAATAATTTTATTGAGAAACAAATAGCAATAGATGGTTTCAAAACTGATTACTACCACAGTTTCAATAATTAATACATTGCATATTGTTGTCTTCATAGTGGTTATTCATAGTACAAGATGCAGACATGATATCCTGTCCACAAAAACACTATTGGTACAAATCTTTCTTTTCACTGAATTAAGGGGAAGTAGCTGTATATCTATCCTAACTATTTTGAATACACAGATTCAAAATGGTCCTTTTGTTTAGTTTTGTCAGACAGAGATGGGTATTCCATTGTTATTTAAATATTGTAGGTGCATGAATTCAGAAAAATATTCCAATATAGTCCAGTGGTCCATAATAGTAGTGGGCTATCCATAAGACTGGCAATGTCAGAAGTCATTGACTTGAGCCTTTTACAACTCAGCCTATTAATTTGGCTTTTCTTTTTATACTTTGTATTTATACTTTTCTGCTGGATGGTTAAGACCAAGATAAAGCAAGACCTATATAACAAGAAATGTAACTTTTGTATCTGACAAGGTCAGTCAAATCCCCTCAGGATTAGCCTGAAACCCTGTATTGCAGGTTGTAGATCCTTTGTCAGTGTCAGCCATGTGGATGAGTCACAGCCATTGCCTGATCAATTTGCTTTCTGTGAAAGTGATGAGTGAATGTTTTCTCTCCATGTGACTCTCCTTAGGCACACTCTACATCATTGATCTCTTTTCTCTGTGGCCCCATAATCTTCCTGATCAGAAAATTTGGGACACAGCTGAGTTACATAATGTTACAGTACAGGTTCTCCTATGTCCTGTGTCCTCATGACCTTGAAAGGCTAGGGCCAAAATGTTGGCTGTCCTTGCAGCCTTTATTTTTCTCTAATTTTTGGTCTGCAAACTTAAGTTGTTAACCCTCCAGAAGAGAAGCTAATTATTATTACCCTACAATGTAGGCAGTTGAGTTTAACCTCACTATCTGTCTGAATAAGATATAGTTTTGCAACACACAGCCAGAAGAGACAAATGCCTGAAACTTCTAAAGAAGGATGTTAGAAGATCTTATTCTACATTGAGTAGGAGAAAAAAGAACATCTAAGTCTCTACACCATGAGGAATATCAATTTCATCAATACTGCTTAGACCTGCAAGCATAAACAAATGTTAGAGGGATCTTTAGCTTTGGTAAATGCTGTGATAAATTCAACCCTTACCCATCACTGAAGCTTCCTGTAATTTTGTCTGCAAAATGGGATTATAAATTGCTTTTATTTGGCTATGGTTTGAATGTGTCCCCAAAAAGTTCATATTCTAGAAACTAGATCTCAAGTGTGGTGGAACTGATGTGGTGAATCCTTTAGCCTAGTGGAAGATGGCTACACTGCTGAAGGTATCACCCCTAGAAGGGATTAATATAGCTCTTGTGGTTTTCTGGTTAGTTCCTGAGATAGCAAGTTGGAAAAAGAGATGCCCTGGCACCTGAATCCCTCTAGCTTCCTGTCTCATCAGTAACTGACTGTTGTCTCCCTCTCGCAGACCATCTGCCATCATAGGATGTGGCCAGAAGACTTTCACCAGAGGCAGAACAGATGAGGCCACTGATTTGGAACTTTTGTCCTCCAGAACTATGAGCTGCCTAAGTTTTCTTTCTAAAGTACACAGCCTCAGGCATGTGTGTATTTGCCATAGTTTCTTGCCTTGCAGTTACAGAGCATGGTTGACACTCAACATGAATAAAGATTTTGGGTTGGATAACGTGCAAAATTGCTGCCAGGAGGGACAGGTAATAAACTCCTTTTAGAATATGTTTCACCTGAGGCCAGGAATAATTCATAATGATAACTGTTGTTGCTTAAAATTCAGTCCTCAGTCAGCATTGCTGTTCAAAAGCGATGCAAGAGTCATAGTAAACAAATTTATGGTTTGGAGTTGCATCCCCACTTGAATAAAACAGCTGTAAATATGATTTCAAAGATCAATGGGGAAATTTGACTACTGATTAGATTTCAGATGAGATTAAAGAATAAATGTTATTTCTGTTAGATATGTTACTGTAGTTATGCAGGAATGTGTCTTTCTTTTTGAGAGATACATAAGTGTGTAGATACAAAATGTCTTTATGCTGAATTTTAGGGGGGAAAAGGATAACAAGATGGAAAAGAAGTAGTGGATATATGGAATCCCTTTATTTTGCTCACTATTTTGTTTTATAGTCAATTTTTAAAGAGATTCACCTTCATACATATATCCCACTTTGTTACTAATATAAACTTGTACCAATGTAAGTACAAATGAAGCCATTCTGTGCATTTCACTGAAAGAAAGCCAGCACTGTAAGCAAGCCCAGGGCTTGGGCTAAGAAGCGTGTCTTTCTTTGAGCCACTACATAACCTTCAGCAGCAAGTCAGGCTTTAGGACACTGATTTGTTTATCTGTAAAATGAGCAAAATGGCCTAAATAACCTCCTAGGCATGTCCCAAACTTATCACCTAGTGATGAGCATTAACTATTCAATTATTCTCCTGTCAGATGAGTGTTAAATGTTCAATCATTTCTCAGTTTGGGAGACCAAGCGACCAACCAAATGGATCTTAGAGCCTGTTATGTTACTTTCCTATCTCATATTTTGGACAACTTTCTGGATTCTTCTGAGACAATTCCTTCCTCTCTGCCTGGCTTTTCCACCATAGAGGATCATCAGAAAACTGTGATAACATAATAGGAAAGAAGTCATGATGGAGGGATTTTCTGAACCACATACCTCCATTGGCAACGTTAAACTTCACTCCAAACTCTCCGCCTGGCCCTCCAGGACAGTGGCTGGCTGTTAGGATGATTCCACCAGCTGCCTTGATCTTCCTGATGATGCAGGAAACTGCAGGGGTCGACAGGATGCCATTCTGCCCAATAATCAGCCGTCCAATCTAAACCATCCAGAAACAAAAATCAATCCAAGTAACATGGACTTGAAGGCAACAAGTTAATAGGAACATGTCTCATGTTTGGTCAATGTCTACTCAATCACTTATCCAAAGGAACTGAGTGGGCTTTAGTTAAGAGAGCTGAGAGAGAAGGTGCTCAGGCTTTGTCTGCCTGTCCAGTGTCTCCAAGACCATTTGAAAGATTCCTATCTAGTAGGCCATCATTGACATATAGGTAGGACACAAGTTCTTAGTTTGGCCCTCACTTAGGGTCTCACTCTTTTTTAGAAAGAGAATACAGAATAGTAATATAAAAGAAAAAATTAGAAATGATACAGAACTTCACTGAACAAAATAACATGAATTGGACTGTTTGCTGTGTTGAATAGTGCTGTCTTCGAATTAGTTGCTTAGATTACCATATTTATGCATGCAAAATTGAAAAAAGAAAGAAAACGGTTATAAGAAATTTAGAAGAGAAAAAAATTAAAAAGAAAACAAACAAAAATTAAGTGTTAACTGCTCCTTTCCAAGACCAGCAGAAATCCACAGTACAATTATCCAAGTCATCCTGCTTATATACATAAGCATATCTATTTCCCTGACTCTCTCCCCTGTCCTTCTTCTCTCAGTAATTCCTTCCTTTTGTACAGGTTCATTCCCTTTTCACAGTGTCTATTATACCCTTCAAATTTTATTTCATCTTTCAGATTTATGTATATCCACGTTGACAGCAGCAACATTTGTCATAGCTAAATCTTGGAAGCAACTAAGCAATGCTCATCAACTGAGGAATGGACAAAGAAGATGTGGTATTTTAATACAGTGGAATATTATTCAGCTATAAAAAGTATAAATATGAGGCTTTTATCAGTAAATGGATATAAATTGAAACCATACTCTTAAGTGAAATAAATGAGACTCACATGTGCAAACGCTGTATTGTCTCCCTAGTGTAAGAACCTGAAAGGGTCTCTTTTTCAGGGAAAAAGGAAAGGAGTGCTACTCTGCCTCTCCAGCTTCCTGGGCCTAGGAGAAAACTCACTCAGCAGAGGGCCTGCTGACTGCATCCTTTTTATATTTTGACTGTGCCCTTTAGGTAGGAATTCTTTCTGCCACTATGTGACAACATGCAAAGGGGACACTGGAGAAATTACCCAGAACTCTCTCTGCAGGTTCATTCCTGGGTATGGACAGAATTTTTTTCTGTAGCTATAAGACTGGCTACTTAACAAGTGAGGAGCATGGCCCTGAAACACATTACTTGCTTTATTTTGTTTTAAAACAAGTTTTCAGTTGTCTAATCCAGTGGTTTCTCAATGCTTTCTACAAATTAGGATCACTTGTGAAACATGTATGGGCCCAATAATCAGAAGGCATCCCAGACTAATGAAATTGCAATATCCAGGTGAGATCCATACATGACTAGTTATTAAAGTGTTATAAGTGGTTCCAGTGTTCTCCCAAGTTGGCACCCAGGTCCCCCGTGACTCACAGGACCTTCAGAGTGGGCACCACAAGTACGTGTGGTGGAAATGCAGCACCTCAAGGCCCACTCCAGACTTATTTAGAATTTATTTTTCTGTAAGACCCCTTTGCTCTTCCCAGACAGGTCATTTCAGAAACATCAATGAAGATTTCAAGCTACAGCAGGCTCTATCTTCCATCCCAACAGCAGTCACCCTGATACCAGTATTGCCCCCACCTCTAGACAGAGAGAGCAGAGAGACAGTCAGTCAGTCAGACAGACAGACAGACAGACAGACAGACAGACAGACATAGACAACTTTTGGAAGGAAAATGAATGAACATGCAAGTGAAATGAAATACAGAAGAGAGGGGCTATGTCATTCAGCCCTCAAAATGGCCCCTTGGACTACTCTCTTACATTGCCCGTTCTAGGAGAAGCCAGAGGAAAGCTACCATACCACAAAGACCCTCTGTAGAGGCCTCTAGGAAAATGGACCAAACCCTCATCAACAGCAGGCACCAATAACAGCCTCATGAGTGAGCACTTTCACAATGGATACTGCAATCCCCATCAACTAGTCACCTTCTAAAACCCCCATCAACAGGTAACTATGACTTCATGAATGTCCCCAAACCGAAATAACTCATCTCCTCTCAGAGAAACTGTGAGGGATAGTAAGTGTGTGTTGCTATTTTAGGTCACTAGGCTTTGTGCAAATTTCTTAACAGCAATCAGTGGCTAATATAGGAGAAAAGAGTTTCACTGAAGAAAAAAGAGTCAAGAATAACCCCGGCTTGGGGCCAGGTAGATGGCTCAGTGGAATAAGCACTTCCCTGGCAAGTGCAAGGGCCTGTGTTCAATCCCCGGTTCTGCAAAAAATAAATAAGCAGGTATTTTTCATCAAGTATTGATATGTTGAACTTTAAGTCCCTGCATAATATGATAAAAACATTTCAAAAATTACAATATATTTTAAAAAAAGAATAACTCCAGGTTTCTATATTTAATAATCTGACAGGCAATTGTGCCAAAAAAGACAACAACAATAGTTACACTCAATATCCAGAGCCATAATAAATTATTTTCCATATATTCATTAAAATTTATGTAGTCATTCATTTGATTTTAGAGTATCTACCATAAAACTGACAATACAGAAGACACTGCCAACATAGCAATAAATATAATTTAGCCACTGTCCTCAAATAAAGTCTGAAAAATTAAGAATATGAAAAATACCACTTTTGTTAATAATTTTCTATATCTCTCATTTTTCTGGATTATTCTTAATAGAAATAACCCTCTAAGAGGGAAAAGCATATACAGAAAGATATTTTCTGTATTAGTCATTAAACATGACATCTTGAAGGGTACAACAGATATTGGGACAAGGGAATGAACTTATTCAAAAGGAAGGAATTACTGAATTGAGAAGGACAGGAGAGGAAGTGGGGGCCAGGGAGATGGCTCAGTGGAATAAGTGCTTCCCTGGCAAGCATAAGGGCCTGAGTTCAATCCCTGGTTCTGCCAAAAGAATAAAAATTTTTAAAAAAGATTAATCTATGTATGTAAGCAAGATGGTTTAGATAACTGTACTGTGCATTTGTGCTGGTCTATGGAACAGAGTAGATTATGCTTAATTTGTTTTATCTCCTTTTTTCAATTGTTTGTACTTTTTATCTTCTTAATTTCTTATACATTTCTTTTTTCTTCCAATTTTATGTACATATATCTTATAATATGAATAACTGGCTGGAAGACAATACTATGTACTACAACAAATACTATGGAATTAACATTACTTTGCTAAGTGAAATTTTGTATCACTTGAAATTTTTTTTCTGTTTTAGTTCTAATCTGTATTCTTTTTAAAATTAAAAAAAATTAAAAAGTGAAGTCTTGGCCCACTGGAAATTTTCACACATCACTAATATATGAGTAAGAAACAACTTCAAATTGCTTTTAAGGCAATAAAAATGAATTACATTTCTGCTTCATAGCCTGTAGTAATCTACATTTTCTTAAGTGCTAGAAAAGAAACAGAGAAAATGCTTTAAAACTAAACAAAAAATGTAAAATAAAAAATTATTTGTATACTCTTACAATATGAAAATATATACACTTTGAGCAAACACTTGTTAAAATACAGCAATACTACTCCACCCAGCCCCCAGGGCCTGCATGTGTGGGGGACCTTCTTCAGACTCTCTGGAATCTCCTCTATCTGACATGCCTGGTATAGAACCCTACAGCAGAACTCCCTGCAGAGAGGCAAGGGGGCAAGACCCACCCAACTAATCCAGGAGCAGAACTCCTTGCCAGAGGGGCACAGCAGGTCTACTCACACGGGCTACAGCAGGAAGAAGCTGAGCACAGCAGCCAGACCCAGTCAGGCCCACCTGGACAAATTTGAACTTGGTAGATCCAGACCTGGTAAGCTGAGACACTTTGCTAGACCCAGAAGACATGCTCCCTTTCTCTCTTGACTGAAAGAGGGGGAAACAGGTAACTGGGGTGAACTAGTCTGCCTGGAAGACTACAGGTACAAAAGAGGAGGTGATCAGACAGAACTTAAGGGAACTAATGTAAGTACAAATTCCCAATCTAATACTTAACTATACAGTCATAATATTTGTTCTTAGAGTCTAAAAGGCAAACCCATTAGAAACAAAAGACTGTCAACTGCTAAATCTCACTACCCATTACTAGTGTTGCTAATTATAGTTCTGTAAATACTAAACTGTAACTACCTTAACCACATAATCTCTCTTGGGTAAGAATATCAGTACATACAAAGTTAATAACTGCAACAAAGCTCTACACCAAAGGTCAGAAGACAGTG